CTCGTTCGCTTCTGCTTCATGTGGGGTTCATCTGCTTCATCAGGAAATGTCCTATCATCGGTAACAGTCACAAACTCTGACACATTTTCAGGCAACTCTTCATAAGGTGGGCGTCTTGTTAACAGATCCACTGGCAACCGAGGTTCCCGACCAAACATCGACTTTGCTGGAGTGTATCCAGTGGCTTCATGCTCTGCTGTCCTATAGGCCATCAACAGTGGAGGGAGTAAGACATCCCAGTCATCTTGGCGGCTATTACAAAACTTTGCCAATTCCTGTCCCAGTGTCCAGTTGTACGTTTCTACCATCCCAATCGGACTGTGGATGAAGTGGCGTTGTTCTGGTATTTCGTATGCCAAACAATTTGCAAGCATTCATGGAACACAGCTGATTCAAAGTTACGGCCTTGATCTGAATGCAGTTCGTAAGGCATACCAAATCTGAAGAAGAAATCACTAATAGCCGAAGCTGCAGTTGTAGCTTCTTGATTTGGCATTGCATATGCCTCAGGCCACTTTGGGAAATAATTCTATCACCACACAAATGTACCCGTATGCAGCACGAGTTTATGGCAAAGGACCAGCAATGTCAACAGCTACTATTTCCATTGGCGCGCCAACTTGATATAACTTCATTGGAGCATGTCCTTTATGCTTTTAGCACAACATGTATTGCATGTCCTGCACCTTTCTTCCACATCTTGCCTCATACTTATCCAATAAAATCTATGTCGTAGGTGACTCAATGTCTTCTTAACTCCAAGATGTCCTCCTGTTAAACTATCATGGGATTGATGCAGCACAACTTCCAGTAACTTTCTCGGTATAACTGTTTGCCAGGTCGTCACTTTCCCATCTCCAGAGAAGAATACCATCTTCAAGCTTAAATTGGTCCCATTGTGCCCAATAGTTTTTGTCACAGGGCTTAAGCTAGACACCTTCTCCAAAACAGGGCACAAAACACTGGCTTTCAGAAATTCAATTATTGGCTTCAAATCTTGATATTTCTCCTGCTTTGCTTTAATATCTATACCTCGTTCCATTTCATCGTCATCAACTCCTTCAGTCACTTTGACTTCAGCTTTATCGCACCTGGTTAGTTCAACCTCTCTTTTGCAGAAATGTCTGTAGTCATTTTTGCAGGGTCTTCGGCTCAGTCCGTCGGCATTTCCTTCTCTGTATTCAATATGATAATTATATTGGTCTATCTTTCCGATCCAACTTGCCAGTTGTCCCTCTGGGTTCTTTAATGATCTTAACCAGCGTAATGCAGCATGGTCTGTTCTGATGGTAAACCTGGCACCATAGATGTAAGAATGGAAATATGTCGGACTCTTTACTATAGCAAGGAGTTCCCTCCGTGTTACACAGTAGTTCCTTTCTGGTCTGCTCAGGACCCTACTAAAGTAGGCCACCACATGTTCGTTTTCGCCAACTTTCTGAGACAACACTCCCCCAATTCCGATATTACTAGCATCACAATCCAGTATTTACAGCAGTGAGGGATCTGGAAGCATTAAAAGTGGAGCTGAGACCAATTTTTCTTTCAATGTCTTGAAAACATGCTGGCAAGAAACATTCAAACTTCTGGCCTTTTTTGGTCAGATCATGTACTGGAGCAGCTATAGTTGCAAAGTCCTTCACAAACTTCCAGTAATAGGCGCAGAGTCCCAAGAAACTTCTTAACTCATCCACATTGTCTTGTGTTGGCCAATCATGCACTGCTTTCACCTTGTCAGGATCAGTTCGCACACCATACTCACTTAAAATGTGACTCATGTAAAGCACCTCTTTCTGGAACAAGTGGCATTTCTTGGGATGGAGTTTATAGTTTACTGCTTTCAAATGCTTGAATACTTCCTCTAGCCGGGACATTTCCTCATCAAAAGTTGTTGCAAATACAATGACATCATCCAGGTACACTAGGGCTATCCTCCATTGTAGGCCTTCCAGTACTCTTTCTATCAGCCTCTCAAATGTTGCTGGAGCATTGCTAAGCCAGAATGGCATCACACAGTATTGCCAGAGACCTTGGCCATAACTAAATGCAATCTTAGGTTTATCTGCTTTAGCCATTTTCATTTGATGGAAACCCGGCTTTAAGTCCAGAGTTGAAAACAACCTGGCTCCACTTAGGGGATCAAATGTATGATCAATTCCTGACATTGGG